CGGCCCCCCAACTCCCCAATCGGCCCATCTCTGAGCCCGACCAGGGGCTGCACCTAGAGATTGGGCCTGCCCTCTGCCACCCGGGAGCAGGCCTAAGCCAGCAGGTCGTTATCTCCCGAGGGGTCCCAGACTGCGAGAGGGCACAGCCGGGCTGAGGGACCCCCCTTCCCCCCAAGTGCACAAATTTTTGTGCACCAGGCCTCTAGTATCAATATAAAGGTACAAGGCCCTAGTCCTTAAGAGATTGACATTCTAATTGAGAGGACAAATGTAACAGATAAAACAAGTTCTATAACCAGTGTGTGTATGAGGCAGAGTGGGACTGGCCACCACTACCTGAGAAGTGATCAGAAAAGGAGGTGACCCTGGAAACAAGAACACATGTTTTATCTGATATTGAGAGCAGCCTGCGCCAGATGAGCCACTGATTAGGAATGGCAGCCACTGGGTATGTGGGCTGAGGCCTGGAGGGCTCTGTGGGTCATGCTGAAAAGTATGGGCTTTATCCTGCAGACAAAGACAATTGGACACTTTCCACAGACAAGTCTTAAGGTAATGTGTATCTAATTATTTCCAAACTTCCCTCCCAGAAGGAAAGATTTTATTTCACTTACTCAATAATTACACTGAGTATCTATTATGGAGCAGTTATTAATGGCTAAATTTATAGCTTGGCTATAAGCCACATATGGACTTTATAGAAAAATGTCTATTATGTATATTCTGATTTCTAGTGATTTTTAAATACAATTTAATGGTTTAAACTTACTTAAAAGTTAAATTTGCTAAGGTATTTCCCAATTCCTATCAACTTTGCTGCTAGCAGAGATGGGGACTTTGCCAGACTCATGTTTTCCAGTAGAAGTATTCAGGGATGATTCTGCCATAGTCCAAGGCAAACCTCCTGTGTATTTGTGGGAGACCAGAAGGATTCTTGACCAGAGCCACCAGGTAGTGCTGACGCCAAGGGCCGACTTTCACTCCTTCAGGTGTCACCTTGTCACCGAAGTGTCCCCTAACAGACCTTTTTTACTATTGTCCCTGCCAGTTGATTTTCCTTAAGCTGCTTAAAGAAAAATTACACGTATATCCTTCTACCATACCCCATAGTTTATTAACTCATGTTTGTTGTTTTTTATTCGTTTCCCCTACTAGAATGTAAGTCCCTTTAAAAGTAGGGATCTTTGTGTGTGCTGTTCACTGGTGGGTCTCAACCAGCTAGAACAGTGCCTTATAGAAGACTTAGCTTCAAGGGTCAGTATCTGGGTGATTAGAAAATACCCTTGAAGACTTCTACACTTGTTTTCATTGACCATAATTTGCCACTAAACAGAGGTGAATTAGTAAGTCAATGAAACTCTTACTGAACTTGTAGAGCAAAGCGGTTTATACCTGTTTGTGTGTCTTTAGTGTTGAGAGTAAATGGCCATGGTACCCTTTGATGGTGAATCTTCGCGGCTGTTAGGAGTAAAGGCCATAGAACATTGGCAGAGGGGATTCTGAACCTGCTTGCGGAGAACTATAAAATGACAATAACAGGTGATGTTCTTTTCAACAGATACAAGAGTTTGGTCACTGGGACCCGAGCGAGAAGAGTCATTGCTGTCCTCTGGGTGCTTGCCTTTGGCATTGGACTGACCCCTTTCCTGGGCTGGAACAGTAAAGACAGTGCCACCAACTGCACAGAGCCCTGGGATGGAACCATCAATGAAAGCTGCTGCCTTGTGAAGTGTCTTTTTGAGAATGTGGTCCCCATGAGTTACATGGTGTATTTCAACTTCTTTGGGTGTGTCCTGCCCCCACTGCTCATAATGCTAGTGATCTACATCAAGATCTTCATGGTGGCCTGCAGGCAGCTTCAGCGCACCGAGCTGATGGACCACTCAAGGACCGTCCTCCAGCGAGAGATCCACGCCGCTAAGTCCCTGGCCATGATCGTGGGGATTTTTGCTGTGTGCTGGCTACCAGTGCATGCCATCAACTGTGTCACCCTTTTTCAGCCAGTTCAGGCCAAGGAGAAGCCCAAGTGGGCAATGAATATGGCTATTCTCCTGTCACATGCCAACTCAGTTGTCAATCCCATCGTTTATGCCTACAGGAACCGAGACTTCCGTTATACTTTTCACAAACTCATCTCCAGGTATGTTCTCTGCCAGACAGATGTCTTCAAGAGTGGGAATGGGCAGGCGGGGGCACAGCCTGCTCTCAACATGGGCCTATGACTTGGATGGACTCTGTCTTCTTCAAAAGGCACAAATCCACAATAAACAGAGGGACAGGACATGATTGGATGATCCTCACATGAAAGACAGTTATGCCTCACAAGCATATGGGTTGCCTCTTTTGAGCATCTCCCTGAGGTTACCACATATCTAACTAATATATACATGATATTAGTAGGTTCCAAGGGTTGACAAATAACATATGGTCCTGTCTGGATGCTCTCACTGTGTGGATGATGCTGACAACTTGAATGGATTGTAAAATAATGTTGTTGTTTTTTAAAGTCTGCCTTTTTCATGGTAGAAAATGAATAAAACTATTTTTCTGTGAAACACTGTGAATTATTATAATACAAATATTTTTTAAACTTAGAGGCAATGGAAAAATAAAAGTTGGACATACTAAAAATGTATACTCATTTCTAGAAAGGAGACCAGGAAAATTAAAAGTATAATTCTTTCATCAAGAAACTACTATATTAATTTAGGGAAATGACACTCCTGTAAGTTCTTAAGTAGAACATCATCAGATAACATTTTGATAGCATTCTTTTCCTTATATAGCAAACAACCCTAGAGAAAGAAACTAGGGAAGTGGGATCCTTCTTCTATCAGATTCCCTTTCCCCGTCCTAGAGCTAGTAGTGAATTTTACTTCTCTACCAACTTCAAGCTTTGCCAACTTGCTGGATCTCAAAGTGTGAAATTTTTACTAAGTAAAATTATACAATTGTGTATGTATATTGGGTGAAATAAAAATAAAACTTGAAAAAATCAAGCTTAGGGTGCTGCGCTGGCTTGTCATACAGAGCTGCATGTCCCTTCTATTCTTTATCCTAAAGTCTGCTTAAAAATATAAGCTTATACCCACTTGAAGTTTCCCAAGTAGCAGAAAAATCTTCATAGTTTATTTGCCACACCTCATTGTAACAAAAGGCTCTGCCCCCCACAGAACACTGCAATATCGTGGCCTTCTCACACAGCATTCACTCACTAGCACCTCACGCTTTGGGGGCACAGGGTTGAGGTTTCCTAGGCTGTAAGATCTTTTTCGTCTGTTTGTTCACCGCGTCAGCTGCTTCTGCAATATCCCTGTAAAGACAATGCAGGTTTATAAGCCCTCACACAGCACATTCCTGTCCTCGGGGCCCATTCTGGCGGTGGACAGACAGCTGTACCTGTAAAGGGCTGCATCTGTCTCGTTTCCACCATCATAACTCGTCTGCACTCTCCTGGGGATCCAAACAGCCCCATTTCCTCCCTCCTAGCACTCTTCTTAGTCTCTCTCTTGCCTTTTCTTCTTCAGACTAGAAATCCATAGTAGTTTCCTCTGCTTCCTTCAGCACATGAATTTTAGTCCCTTCCTTCATCTGGCTTGTTATAAAGCTCAGAAATGCATCTAGCACAAAACCAGTACTTCCGTTGGTCTACCATTCTAACAATACAGCCCACTGGAGCTATTTTGGTAGCAGCACCACAGGTATCTGAAGCTCCTGAAACCAGAACCCCAGTAAATCTGCTTATACTTGGCTGCTGTTTGGCCACATCTCTGCTCTGATCTTTCATTGCTGCAGAATAATTTTCTGAACCCAAGGTAAAGAATTAACACTTACTCATCTACATTTCATCCTACTCAGTTTTGTCTAGCATTTCAACCTCTTAAAATTACTAGTACCTCAGTTAAGAATCTAATTGTGGACAAGACATAGTATTAGGCTTTATTTAAGTCTAAAATGCTTGATTCCATCTAGGAAATTTTTTAGCCATGGGGCTTAGAAACTGGTTCAGATTTTCATGAGGAGACTTGTACAGGGCTTCGAACCATACACACATCCTGGGTTCCAACCACAGTGCCTCCTATAGTCCATAAGAAAAAAGGGACAGTAACAACTTTCTGGATCTATTTCACCTCTCTTCCCTATGAGCCATAGTTAAATGGACTTTTGTTGCTACTTCTATTTCGAAAGATGATAGTCTGTACCTTTTATGCTTCTTGATTCTTCTTCATCAACATGTCCGTCAATTGCTTATCCGAAACACTTAGCTGCTGACAGGTCCCCATAACCTGACTAAGATAAACTGCCAAGAGATGCTTGCACTGGAATATAAAACACACAGACGGTTAGAAACTGCGACGGCCAGGCTAACCAAGGCCTCACACAACCATTACAGTAGTCGGAAGGGAGTGGGGCACAGACTATGGGCCTTTAACGCACTGCTTAGAAACTGCAGACACAGCTGCGACTGATGTATTCTTTCTAGAAGTCGGAGGGCACAAAGGAAGCTTTCCTTAGCCTGCTGTGTGGGAAACAGGCTGGCACAGGTACATAACCACAACAGGCTCCTCATCTGAGTCCTGTCATACTTCTTTCTTCCTCACCTTCAGAAAGCTGCTAATAGCCACGAATAGCCTTCCTGAAGCAGCGTTACTAGGTGCTTCATGTGATCTCACTTACATCTGACGGCTCCTTCCTGAGAACAGCTCTTGTCCCCATTTGGACCATGTGCTCAGAATCTAGTCTGCTTCTTTAACCTGTTGCACTTCTGGGGATGAGGGGGGCGAGGGGTCAAGGTGGGCTGGCAGGACCCTCACATACACCAGCCTGTACACAGCTCTGGAGAGATGATCTATGCTGGACCTTGTATCACTGAACCCACAATGCGGCTTTAGATATTGAAGGGGCCCGGTGTAATCACGTCACTGAACAGTGAAATAAGCTTATGGCACATCAGCTATGAATGTAGCCACTCGTACAATGGGATACCCAATTTGCTACCGAGTTCCCAAGATGTTTAATGAAGTCAAGAGTGTAAAACAAAGGGTAAGAATGGGATGGATGCTATAATTTTCTTCTTTGGCAAGACTTAAAAAATAGCTACCTACTCTCAGGTGAGCGGTGCTTTCTCCTTGGAGTAAAGAGCTGTATGTCTTTCCCTTGCTTGAGGCTCTGGACGCCTGTGAAATAGGCAAAGGCACCACTGTGCCTCCTGCCTCAGGTAGAAGTGCCAGGCTGTTTCATGGGCAGTGGGAAGAAACACCTCATGGCTGGAGCTGGGGACATGGAAAGCTGCCAACTTGGCTCCAGTTTGGCTCATACACTTACTGGGTTACTCATCCCCCAGGGCCAACCCATTCAGGACTATCTTGTCCTCCCAAATGCTTCGTCCATGACCCTTTCAGTAATAAACTGGGGTTGATGTATTTCTAAAAATGACACAGCATTTTGGGAGGTTAAACCCAAGGGAGATTACTAACTGAGGTCAAAGATAATAAACAAGTTGTTTCAACATGTAGTAAAATTCCCACGTTGTACAGCTTTAAGCCATGAAGTAAGGGCTACCAATTTCCTCCCTAATTCGATGGCAGTGGGAAGAGACCGCGCCATCCTCACCAGCAGGCTGTCACTCTTCCGGAGCACGGAGAAGGCAAACGCAGGACATGAACAGTAATGACAAGAAGCCAAACACGTGTATGTTTTGCCAGAACTTCCGAGCACCTAGAAAGAAAAGGACAGATGGGACCAAACTCCAGAAGCTGTGCTGGAAAATTGCTTCCTTCCCTTGACTTTACTTGATGACTCAGAGTTACTCTGCAAATTGCACCGGGAAGAACTGCAGTTACATTTTGCAAAAAAAAAAGTGTAATCTCAATTTCCCTGTGTGCAGACTCTTCCCTCCTCAGAGCTCTCCCCTTGACAACTTTATGCAATGAAACTGAAGAGTTGTAGGCTAGGTGAACCATCTACACAAACCACGTTGTTCCTCTATATAGTGATTCAGAGGGCCAACTCCAGGGGATGACTATAAAGGGGGGAGGGGGGCGGGGGCGGGTGCTCCTTCATCTACCTTTTATTGTGGTGTTTCTTATTTAACCTATGATATTTCACAGCATCTTTGCGAATTTCTAAAGCTTCTACCACAACCTTAAGAGAGTATGAAGAGGAAACTAAGATGGCGGCATAGGGGAACACCGAGATTGCTGCCTCCTACAACAACTTCAGAAACACAATAAAAGGACAGGACGGTCAACATCCAGAACTACAGGAAGGCTGGTGGAGTGGAAATTCTACAACTAGAAGAAAAGAGAAAACCACATTGAGGGTCAGGAGCTGCGGAAGTAAAGTGCAAAGGTACAGAGGCTCAAGAGCGCGGAAGGGGGCTGGTACCTGAGGACGCGGCTGGGGAGGGAGTCACAAGCTCCTGACTGCTCTGAACTCCGGTTCCGGGAAGTCGCTGGGGACCCAGGACTCATATGGGGAGAAACTGGACTGTCTGGCAGCGGGCAGAACTCGGAACTCGAGGGCAGCTTTCCCTCAGAGGTGCTTGCAGCAATTAAATTATCAGGACACTGAGAGGTGCCGGCCCCTCAGGGCAGGGCTGAGAATCCGCTATAGCTGCTTGCTCCGCCCTTTGATTCCCTGAGACCCCGCCCCACCCAGG